GGGAACCCAAACCCCCCCAAATTTTCTTTTTTCAGCCCTTCCCAGACTATACCCCATGGCCAAAGCATTTATGCGGGCAAAGGGACCCCCCATCTCCCTCGATTACCGCTGCCGCCCCTGCCCAGACCTAATGCCTCTGAGGTGTTAGGCCTGGGCGGGGACCCCCAGCTGCCCACATTGTGGGCTCCGCTGTGCTCCCACCACCATTGGCTTCCCCCCTGCTCCCCACCATCGCGGCTCCACCCATGCCCAGGCCTAATGCTTCTGACCAAGGCGTCAGGCCTGGGCAGGGTACCTCTCAGCTCTGATTGCAGGCTCCGATAGCCGATAGCCACTGGGCGCCTACTATGCAAATTAACCGCCATATTTGTTGGCGGTTAATTTGCATATCGTGCTGATTGGCCAATGGGAGGTGTAGTGAAGGTACAGTCAATTACCCTTTTTGTCTATTATTAGATAGGATTCCTGGAACTGCAAGTAGATCAACATGACAATGTGAGAAAGTGAAAGGTTTTAGAGTAAGAATAATACTTAACTCCTAAGGGACCCCCATTTCTATTCTGTAGATCTACTGAAATGTTGAGTAGAGTCCTAGGAATGAAGTGGGTAAAGGATTTTTACCCACTGGGCACTGTCTCCTGTCCTCTGCTGGTCTAGTAATACATATACTAATATTAGTTAATATACCTTATAAATTTGGATTTAAATATGATTAGATGATTGATAAACTAATAAAAATGTAAATCTAAAAAAGTTTTATAGATCAGTTTAATTGTAAAGAAAATAAAATTTGCAAAAATTAGCAACAATATAATCATTAACAATGTAACAAACAGTAAAATTTAGTCAGATGCAAAAAATATGTATAAATGAGGCAAACCAAGAAGGGAAAGAGAATTCAGAAAGAGAAGCAGAAATCTACCATAGAGAAAGTTCCCATTTTATACTTCAGTGTTAGGTTAGAATTGTACAAATAAGCTCACTGTTTTTTTCTTTTTAGTTATCCCCAGAACCCTACAGAGTCAGGTACCTAGGAAATTCCCAGTAACTGCTAAATTAAACTAAACCATCCTAATCACAGCTTTTGGTAGGTGGTTTTAATTTCCACTAAATTGGAGGGGAAAGGACAGGATGTTGTACTATATTTTCTTTTGTAGGTAAAAAAATTTAAGTACAAGTAGTTTCAGGATGTATCATTAAGACCCTGGCTGGGTGGCTCAGTTGGTTTGAGCACCAGGATTTTGAACTCAATTCCTGGTCAAGGCACATTCAGGAAGCAACCAATGAGTGCATGGATGGGTAGAACAGCAGGTCAATGTTTCTCTCTTTCTCTGAGATCTATAAATTTAAAAAAAAATTTTTAGATATCTTATTAAGTATTTGTTCAAATGCAATGTCATTCCTAGAGGCCCAATTACTTGGTTTTACTCTCAGGGACCAGTATGATTATCCTATCTAATAAAAGAGTAATATGCAAATTAACCATGACTCCAACACAAAGATGGTGGCACCCAGTCCTCTCAGCCCCACTGGAGTCCTCCAGTCCCGGGGGCAGCAGCTGAGAGCAAGGCCTGCTTGGCTGTCGCCATGGAGACCCAGGAGCGGCCAAATGGGCCCCGCAGACAGCAGAGAACCATGAGGAGCAGGCCTAAGCCATCCGTAGGACATCCCCTGAGGGCTCCTGGATTGGAGAGGGTGCAGGTCGGGCTGAGGGACCACTCTCCCCCCTGCACAAATTTTGTGCACCGGGCCTCTAGTAATATATAAAGAGGAGGAATAGTTTGGTGCTTAAAATATGTGAACCCCTGAACCAGATTGTGTGATCTTGGGTAAGTTATTAACTTCTCTGCAACTCAGTTTACTCATCTATAAAACAGAGATAACAGCAGTACCCATCTTATAGGGCTGTTGTGAGAAATATAGGTGAAGTGATAAAAACAATGCTTAGAGTAAGCACATACAGTACATCACTCACTGTCACTATGATTACTTTTCTATTGTTTTCCTAATTGAACTTCAAGATGGTATAAAACTATTTATGAAAACCTACATAAAGCTTTTTATTTTTTATTTTAAAATTACTAGATAAATTAAACATTTTAATATGGAAAATACTAGTAGTTTGAGGTACAAGAAGAAAATTTAGATATTTTTAATTTGACTTTAGAGGGAGGAAGACAGAGAGAGAAAGAGAGAAATATCAATGAGAAATAGAAACACCAGAGGAATACCGATTGGCTGTGGAGATCAAACCCACAACCTAGGCAAATGCCCTGACTAGGAATTGAACCCACCACCTTCTGGTATATGGGAGGAGGCTCCAACTAACTGAGCCACATGGGCCAGAGCAAAAATTTATGTATTTTTATAACCTTGAAGTAGAAAGAGATTCTTTTATAAAGATGATATCAATGACAGAGATCAAAAAAGAAAAATTTAAAGTTCTTGGCAATTAAAAAACTTAAAAATTAAAAACAAATGAAAAATTGGGAGAAATATATTTGACCCATTATTTTGGTAAATGATAACTGTATAATGAGCCCTGAAAGAAAAATGATCTATGGACATGATAGAGAGTTCACAAAGTACTAATACAAATACCCCCCAAAATATGAAAAAAGTTCTATCCCAATACTAATTAGGGAAGAGCAAGTAAAATATCAAGGAAATCTTATTTCCCCATTTTTACCAAAGATGATAAAACACTAATACCCAATGTTGGCAATGGTGTGGGGAAGAGGATGCTCTTTAATTCATTGCTGACAGAAATGAAAATTCACACTTCCCAAGGTAATTTGGCAATATATGAAAAATGTATACCTTGTTTCTAGGAATTTATCTTAAAGATATAAAGGTGTGTGTAAGAAATCAGCTACTGGGATATTTATCACAGCACTGCAAAATGTCCAGAGAGGACTGATTATATACTTTGTGGTGTAAAGATAACAATGGAAAATAGTCATTAAATATGATGTGGTAGAAGTATACTTACTGACATAAAAGAACTTCACAATGAAATGAAAATATAAAACTTATACAACAGTAGGTTAAGCATGGGTGTATAAAGCTTTTTACGAAAATACTAGTGCCCCGGTGCGCGGATTCATGCACATTGAAAGGAAATTAATTAGAAGGTGGCTGGCAGGGCAGGACTGGGCGAGATGGGCCAGACACACTCTGGAGCCAAACTCCCACGGTTCCTCCCCGGCCTGCCACACCTGGGGTGGTGCTGTGGCTCGAAGGGCATCTGCGGAGTGAGTGGAAGGTCCCTCTGGCAGGTGGGGTCCCTCGGCCTTGCTTGCGGGGATTGGGCCAAAACCAGCTCTCCAACATCCCCTGAGGTGTCCCAGATTGCAAGAGGGCAGTTCTCGGGTGACGCACCCCAGAATCGGGCTCCCTCCTCTCTGGTTCCGGGGTGTGTCACCTGAGAACCGCCACTGCCAGGTCACTGCAACTCCTGCATTGAGCCTGCCCCCTGGTGGTCAGTGTGTGTCATACCTACCAGCCAATCGGACAGTCGATGGTTGCTTAGCCTTTTATATATATAGAGAACACAAATCATTTCACTTGAATTCTAAACAAGAATTATTTACTAATATGCTACTTACACTAACTGATTAATTGTCTTCCTTTGCTCCTTGGATCTTCTGTACTTCAGAAGCTTACTTTGTGTTGGTGTATCAACACCTATGTTTTCAGGAGGATGGACAATGGGAGGTAACTTCAAGTTCAGAGCCTCCTTTTCTGCAGCAATGGCAGCTTTGTTTGGGTCTGACATCTTGGTCTCCTAAAAATACTCTATAATCTGAGGAGAAAAATCCATAAATCCATTATTGTAAAAACTAGCGTCAATATATTGATAACATACCTTATATATCAATACCCAAAATTCTAGGCCTTTTTAGATCTTCCTCCCAAGTATGGTATCAGTCTTCATGGCAGTTGAGGCACTATCCCTCCCGAGAACACGCTGGTGCCTTTCCCTTCCCCCTCCTCGTCCAAGGCACATTACCATTAGCTCCCTCACTCCCCAGGTCCAAGGCCCTTCCTTTACCTCTATAACTTGTTTCCTAAGGCCATGTCTTCCAGGAATTACTTTTTCTACCTCTGTGATTTACCAAATAAATGTTTTCTTACCAACACACACACACACATACACACACATACACACACACACATACACTAAAACAAAACAAGAATGGCAGTTGAAATAAATGGGCAGGGATTCCTGTTAGAGTTCCAACCATCCACTTGCTATGAAAAAATGAAAAAAATCACTTCCAGGTTAGGGCTTCAGTTTCCTCAAGGATGAAATTACAGTTCTAAAAGTCTCAGTTCAGATTTTTCCTAAAATGCAAATCACAACAAACCCAGTTGTTGAGGTATAATCTCTCTCCCCCCAAACCAATTTAATATCATTAATATTTAAATATCAATGTTGTATCTTAGTTTTGCTACCTTCCTAGAAAGTGATATTATGATAAAGCAAAACACATAGAATATCTAAAATGTCATGTAAATGCTAGACAATTAACTGTGATACCAACTGCATTTACCACGGATTCCCACAGAATTTGGAGATTTCTGCCATGAAAAAGTATTTCTGCAGGCATCTATTTGGTGATCTCTTGGCTTGAGAGAGGGGTGAAAAGCTGAAGACAAATAAGTACCTGTCTGTTTTTCACTACTTCTCAGCTGCGCAGATAAGAGGGAAACGTTCAGTGAGCTTCTCTCCTGGCGAAAGAAAAAGGAAAAACGAGGGGCGAAACTTCAGGAACCCACTGACTCCCCGACTCCCCACCGAGGCAGGCGGTAACCTGCCGCAGATACAAAGTTGTCAGTCGCCATAGAAACTGCCCCTGTCGCAGTTGGAGAGATTGGCTAAAAGGTTGCCTGGAGAGGCAGTTGCTGAGCTGCGACAGATTAGGATTACCTGCCACAACAATAATTCATTACTCAAGTAAATGGAGGGTGGTTGAATGAGATTTTTTTTTTTTTACCTGTCTTCCTTCGGAAGGGGTCCAGGGAATCAGAATCTTCAAATTGTGGAAAACGGCAAGACTGAAAATTTGGATCTGTTGGAAAATAGATGTAAACACTCATTTCAATTGAGGATCAAGTGTTCAAGTGTCTCCATCGTAACTTCTCTATAAATACTGCAACTAATCAGCAATATAATTTATCTTGTTTCTATATTTGGTATTTATTTATACAGCACTTTTTCTTCAGGAAATCATTGGCAAAAAAAAAAAAGGTTAAAGGTGTGTAAATTTTATGAGTATGCTTGGAAACAGAAATGTGAAATTTTGCTATTTGAAGCTACACAATGGATATTCCATCTTAATAACAGCTTAAATACTATGTGCACAAATAAATAGGGGAAAAAATAAGTCCTGAGGGTGTACTGATGGCATATTCATTCAACAAATACTAGTATTTGAGCATCTATGTGCCAGTCACCATAGTATAGGCTACACTGTTGTGTCTGGCACACAATAAATCCTCTATGGGGGTGACTGGATAAAGAAGATAAAGGGATTAGCTAAAGAACATATATGCATACCCCTTGGACACAGACAATAGTTTGGTGAAGGCCAAGGGAGGGGGAAGAGGGCTGGGTAGACAAAGGGTGGACAAAGGGTGGGGAAAAGGAGGACACCTGCAATTATGTCAACATTAAAATTTTTTAATGAAAAATAGCTTAAAATAAGTAAAAATGTCATCTGAGTGAGCAAACGAACAAATTAAGTATACTTGTAGCTTGTAAAAGCAATCTATCTTTCTGTAGAAAACAAAATATTTGTATGTGATGGTTCTTTGACATATCCCTACAAGGACTAAAGGGAGAACAGCAGTCTTTTATATCCTAGGTGCATCTTCTCCCAGTTATTTAATCAAACACTAATCTAATAGTGCTGTGAAGAGATTTTTGCAGATATAATTCAAGTCCCTAATAAATAAGGAGATTTGGGTGGGCCTGACTCAATCCATCGAAGTCCTTTTAAAAAGACTTAGCTCTAGCCAGTGTTGCTCGCTCAGTGGTTAGAGTGTCGGCTTGCACACCAAGGGGCTACAGGTTCAATTTCCAGTCAAGAGCAGGTACCTGGGTTACAGATTCCATCCCTACCCCCAGTTGGGGTGTGTGTGGGAGGCAACCAATCGATGTGTCTCACATAGATGTTTCTCTCTCTCTTTCCCTCCCCCTCTCCCTCCCTTCCACTCTTTCTAAAAATCAATGGAAAAAATATCCTTGGGTGAGGATTAAACCACACACACACACACACACACACACAAGCTTAGGCATGCGAGGAGTCTGACTCCAAACAGAAGCTAACTCTACAATTTCTCGTCCTCTCTGGATTTACCCTTCCAGATAGCCTGCACTACAGACCTTGGACTTGCCTAACTACTCTCTACAATTGCAAAAGCTAATTCCTTGTAATAAATTCAT